GGACTTGCCTGCAAAGGGCACCAGTACATCTGACTTGCCTGCAAAGGGCACCAGTACATCTGAGCCATGACCTTTCCATTGTACAGACATGCTGGCCTTATTCACGTCAGTAATCTGACAGCTTTGGGTGTTGCAAACTACTCATTTAATAAAAAAGAAGACACAAAATAATCACAGCGTGATACACAAACTCCCAACTTCCATTGCATGGCATTTCTGAATCAGTTTATTTACAAGTGCAGTTTCACATTGAAATTTGTGACCAATGGTACAGGCAAAAAGTCCATAAGACATGTACATACATGTGTGTGAAATACCCAGGTGAGTACTATAAAATCAACATGCCCCAAATTCCAGCAAGCTGGTATCAGTGGTTCTGTGTACATTCTAGTGTAATTTAGTATGTAGAGTAGGTATTCAGTGGGGGAATATCTAAATGAATATGCAAGACATTGTCCCTCAGTTTTTTTAACTGTGACCGACCAGGGTACTTTCGTCTGCTGATAGCCATCAACCAATCAACAGCTTTGGTCTCATATCCCATCACGGCTAAAGCTGAAAGACACACCAACATTTCCATAAAATGCACATGCAAATGAGCATCAGGTGTTTGTTTGAAAAGGGTACCAGAGAATGTCTGATACCCAGACTTGCATAAAATTCAACAAAAAGGCATTTGGCATCGAAAATGTTCTATCCCACTTACACGAAATCTGCAAGATCTGTACATTAAAGGACTTCATTTACATACATGTATACAAAATAACATTCTTTGGTCTTGTATGAATTTTTTCCTCTACCCATCAATTGCAGTGGCATTTACAAACATATACCATGACAGACAAGTCATGGAGACTGAACAGTAACACCCAATGATTACGAGCTACTGTGGTAACCAAAAAATTGCAGGGAATCATGAAGTCTTCACTATACAGTCCCAATTTCCACTACAAATTAAAAATTTATGTTGGTGTTGTGGCTCTTTCCTCGTCGTCCAACTCTGCGGCCAGGGTTTGAACCCATAAAGGTCAGCATGTAGATTGCATTTTTCTGCCAGAGTCTGTGGGTTTTTGTTGGAATATTTATCTCAGACCCCCCCTCTAAAAACAAACATTCCTCATTGTCTTCTTCACTGTCACTCATAATCATCTGGCGCTGAATGCGCTGAACAGAAATAAAATAAAAATAAGCTTCTATAGTGGCCCTCCTGGCGAGAGAGCACTTGCTATATTACATTGCATAGGTGAACATGAAATCTTTTATTCTTCATTTAATGTTGCACGCTGCCATACACTAAGCACATTTTTTTCTACATCTAAGGACCATGGGCAAAAAGCATATCCTCCACAGGACAATGAACAATTATTTCTTCCCTTTGTTATGTCCTCAGTCTGAATATACATGTAATACACTTTAAAGCCCACACAAGCTATGGGCATCACGAGAAGGGGGGGGGCACATGCCCCGGAAAGAAAAAAATTCCACAATACAAAAAGGAGTAACAAAGACAGGAAAAAAATTTAAGAATGAAAAGGGAGGACAATCTCCAATCTGCTTGGAGGAAAGTCCATTAACCCCCTTCCACTATGAATGGATTACTTTGTTGCCACGTGCCCCCTTCTGAACAAAAACAAAACTTGGTGACGCCAAGGATACAAACATAGCCATTCACTCTTAAACAAACAACTAAAACACACACGTGTGGACATGCTTCAATTTTTGCACACTGTGATTAGTCCATGTGCATACACAGTCCTTTCTCTCACAAACAATTCCTACATAATTCAATAGCAATAAGGGCTGGCGTAGATGTACTACACATCTACATAATAATAACCAATCACACCGATGCAGCAGCTAAGAAATGAAAAACCTTGTAACATGTAAACTGTGTCCCCTATGATCGTGTTGGAAAAGTGGTGGATAAGTAGAAAGTTGTTCGAAGGCAAGAAAGAAAAGTATTTTAATTCACTTCGACATTTTTGCTGGTCGTGGTGGGATGACTCATGCACAGAAAAAAAGCAACCCCCTCTTCATTTTTTGGAGAATAATCTTCGGCAATGCAGCACATACTGAAGAATGAAAGATAACTAAAAGCAATATAGCAAAACTATAGGCTGAGCGAGTCTGAGACCATTTTGCTCCATCTAAATGCCAAATTCTAACAATTTCCTGTTGATACAGCAAAACCAGCAAAAATAGCTTTTCAGAGTAGAATGCGTTGAAAAAGTAGGGTGGATAGGTATCAAAGTGGGGGCACAAGTAACACTTATCAGCTGCCTTGAACTTTCTTATAACACCCTGAAATAAGATATTAGAATGCTGGTTGCTTCTCAAAAAATTTTGAGATTTTTTTACATTTTGTTTTGGCGTATTCCTGTTTCAAACAGGAATATTAAAATACTTGATGTTTGATTTGACAAAGCCCTACATGCAGTTCTGCAACAAACTATCATAAATGTATGTATGTAGTATACCAAGGTAATTGTAAAGGCATCCTTGGCATTACACACAAGGTGCATAACAATGACAGGACCAGTAAAGGGTTCTGCTTAACATGAGTTGCAATGGTGGAAACAATCAAATGAAATGTCTGAATTTTCCCCTTGCTTTAACCACTAAGCGCCGGTTGACCCCATATGGGGTACATTCTTCTGATCCACACAGCTGGGCAGCCTTATTTGGGGACAGGACTGACTGCTATGAGTCACCATAGGCTGTAATCCTCCTATTGTAAAGTACAATGGCATGAAGTGCCGCAGCGCTAGGCTAGGCTAGGCTAGGCTAGGCTAGGCTAGGCCAGCCTGGCTGACAAACGCATCGCCCAGCCTGCCCATTGTTTGTCCTTCCTGGCAGGGCTGAGGGCAAACAAAGAAGCCGTTATGTAACACCATAATAAACGTAACAATGCCATTGTTATTACCTGTTGAGTGGTTAAAGTTTCATACAGAAAAGCTATTGGTGACAATGGTGTATTACAACAGCTGTACAAGTGATGTTTAAACTGGCTTGGGGTCTGTGACAGTCTTGCCTTCGGCTCAGGCCATAATCAGTGAGCAAATACCAAGCTGATCTTAAACATTTATGAACAAGATTATCTTGGGCAGAAAATTTCAAACTTAAAAAAAACTGGCAAGATGTGGTGGCCAACTTTTGAAAAAGACAAACGTCATGAATTTAGATTCAGGAGGGTTATTTAAACAGCATCTGTAGGATATTGCCAACTGATTACCTCACATATTGCAACGCTCGGGGCCACGCCCACGGAGCCGTATTTTGTTACCATAGCAGGCAGTGCACAGCAGCCAAATTAAAGTTCAGCACATGGTCACAAAACAAATGGGGATTAGCTCGTTTAAATGTTGGCCCAGAGGTGAGTCAGTGCATGCCTGACGTTTTAACCCGTAAGTTGTGCCCGTGTATACAGAGACCCAGCTTGTGTTTAAATGTCCTCTGGCGTAAAGTAATTCAACAAGCACATTTTCTGGAACACCATTCTCCCCTTATTAACTAAAGCTTACAAAATAATTTTTAGATCCAATCCTTGGCCTCTACTTCTCTTGGCTTAACCTGAGGCCGACAGCTACGCCCAACTGCATGCATGTTATGTTGTGCTTAATAGCTAGCAGTGCAGTAGAATTACACCCAACTATACGAGAAAACTTGCACCAGCCTTGAGCATGCGGTTAACATGGTGTACACAAGCTCCTGCTTGTAAGTGCATGGAGATGTCCATTGTTGCTTTGAAACCAAAGATCGTATGGCAAACTTCACCATGAATACACGTAAAATGTTGTAATCGCATGTGCACCTTTTAAGCAAGCGATACGCCTGCGCAATGCACATTAATACGCAGGCGCAGCGGCAGGCAAGTGCACCTGGTGAGCCTGCGCCCAAGCATTACCGTAAACTGTGCAGGCGTATCGCTTACTCAAATGGCGCCCATGGTAATTATACCTTTTGAGCAAAGTTGTCCATCCTGTGCCTTCGGTGCTGTACGATCTTTGTTTGTAACTGACAACTGTGATGTACATGTATATAGGGTCTATTTATGTCACACATATTTCTTCAAGTAACTGATACCCAGGGTGTTACATCATCTGACCCCTGCTCATTGGGTTTGAACATGCCTTAGGCCATCTCTGACTCCCTAAGAAGTATTTGTGTACGGTTTGTTGCTACCACTTCAGCCGTAATTGACCACAATGAACATAACTATCTTGGCCCTCCAAGATGATGCATTTCAGCATGGGGAGAAGTAATTAGGGAGTCAGGTTGGTGCAGTGGCTCTTTCCTCGTCTCTCACCTCTGCAACCCAGATTGGAATCCCGCCTAGGTCAGCATGTGGATTGGGTTTTCAGTCCCTGCCCGATTCCATTGGTTTTCGTTGGAATTATACTAACCCAGGGTTTTCCTCCCTCCTCTAAAACTGAACATTTCTTCATTGTCTTCTTAACTGTCACTTCATCCTGTACTTAGCACTAAATGCGCTGTTGGATGAACGGAAACAGAAATTAGTCACACAGCGCCTTGCCCAAGAAGCACACTTTTTGCTGGAAATACTGACATGATTACGAATAAGATGGTATTCCGTAATACCCAGCTGCGGAAAGGAGAGTCGGCCTGTCCGTTCATTCCCCCACAACCCCCCCCCCATCATGCCAACTCAGACTAATCTAATCAAGAAGATCAAATGTCCTTAAGGCGTCCTCCTCTTTGATCTCCAGCGTTGCTATTGCACCATCGTTGAAGACAAATGATGACCCGCTGTCCATCACCAGGCAGGCGTCCCATCCCCGCGATCGAATCCGGATCCTTGTGACAAAGCAAACAATGTGACAATAAGTGCTGGCGCATTCTCGCTGGCACTATTAAAGGGAGCGAAAAATCACTTGCAGTGATCCAAAAGGTTAACTGGTGAAATTACTCTTGAAAAGCACACTTGGCTTAGAGTAGGTTATGGGACTATAAACTCCTTGTGAAATTATTCTCTCTGAGAAACTGTCATTTTGAAGGAAAACAACCAAGGAAGGCCATTTCAACCAATGCATCTACAGACGCAGTTTGGAAATTGCCATGAGAGGCATGCGTGAGCACCGCCACATCACACACACATGCACAATGCGCCGCTCACTGTTTTTGCAAGTCCACAGATACACGCTTGTGTGTTTCCCACGTTCCTCATCCGTTTTGTTCTCATAATTAGGATCCACACTTACTTCTTTGCAAATCCCCTTGGCATGTGGGCATTGAAGATGCCATTGATGACTGGGTCGCGCACCGTATAGGCTAGGGTGGGCCTACTGGCGTCAAAGACTAGAGAGCTATTGAACCGGGATGCGATCCTCTCTTGAAGATCTTGGTTGGCTGGTATATTGGCATCGGTTTCATTGTTGACTGAGGATTGAGAAGGGGAAAATGAACTGCTTGAAAGCTCCATGCAATGCAATTTTTACAATGAAATCCTAGAGAGTGCACCTTTGTATCCAATCTGACACCATGTTCAACCTTTGCTTTATTTCTATTTATTTCAGTTATGAAAGTCTTTCTCGTAATGAAACCAAGGATTCCTTAAAAGTGCCCTATGGCACTGTAGATTGAAAGCCTGGAGAAACCTGTAGAAGCGGTTACAGTTTTAAAATGTGGGAGGAAAACCCCAGAAGCATGTTCAGGGTAAAACCCACGAAATCAGGCAGGAACTTAAAACCCGATCCACGTTTGGACCAGGCCAGGAATAGAACCCCAGAGTACAGAGGTGGAAGGTGAGGGAAGAACCACTACACCAGCCTGACCCCTCCCCCCCGACTTCAAAGTCTTAAAGGCCATAAGTCCTGAGCTGGAACCAAGAGAGGGCGCAATTATCCAAGCAACAGAGGTTCCTGTGGTGGGACCTGCACTGATTCACAAACGACTATGATATGCACATGTTGTGGCTATGTCGCTACCAACAAAATGAACATTGCAAGCCAACATGGCTCTTTTCAACCGATGAGGGGGTGCATCTGCTCAAGGCCGATTTTGGAGCATTATTCATTTTAATGAGAATGCAAAAGTTGAATGGATATAACTCCAAGAAGAACCCTGAATATTAGAGCTATTTCAGCACCCAAATGTACCACTCATTTTGATGTCTTGCCAACCTCTCTTCTTCGGGGCTTTGTTAAAGACAGTCAACCATCTCCTACTACATGAAAGTGTGTTCAGTATGCAGATTTTGCATTCCAAATAACAGCAGACATGACCATATAGTGAACAGTTCTTTCCTGGAATGACTTCACAGAAATAGTGCCCACATTGGTCAGAAAAATGTACACATTCCAGTTTTAATGGCATGCCCTGGAAGTAAGGGTGTACTGATACCACTTTCTCATGATACGATACATATCACGTTATGTATTGTAAAAAAAAAACCAATAAGATGAAAGCCAATTTAAAACGATTCACTAGGTAACTTTACTTTATACCAATGATAGCTTACCAATGGTAGCTTACCAAAGGTAACTTACCAACGGCAGCTTACCAATGGTAGCTTACCAATGGTAGTTTCCAATGGTAGCTTACCAACGGTAGCTTACCAATGGCAGCTTACCAATGGTAGCTTACCAATGGTAGCTTACCAATGGTAGCTTACCAACAGTAGCTTACCAATGGTAGTTTACCAACGGTAGCTTACCAATGGTAGCTTACCAGTGGTAGCTTACCAATGGTAACTTACCTACGGTAGCTTACCAATGGTAGCTACCGGGTAGCCTCTTCAGACAATTATATGTTTGTGTTGCAAGAACATTTTGATAAGTATATATCCAAAAATGGTTTGAAGCTTGTACAAAACGTCACACACATGTGGCACCCTGCGCCAGTTGTCACGAAACCCTCCATCGGCGAAAGTGAGAATGTACTTATCTTATTTCAAGTCGTAAATTCATAGTGAAATGAGTGCTACAGCAAGTAACAGTGAAGATTGTTAGTCACTACTTCCGCTCATACACGAACGGCTGTTACGAGTCCCACTGACACAGGTATGAATATTGATGTTTTATTGGCAGCCAATCATAACACAATGACTGGATGGTCCCAAGATGATGGTTACACAAAAGCCCAGCTGTACATGTGCATGTTCACGTACAGGTGCGCATGTGTAGATTCAGTCTAGTCATGGGCATTACGGAGCTCCAGTAGATACCATCGCGTAGAAAAATTGGCGCTTACGCAAGGAAGAAAAACCTTTCTAAACCTGATAAACTGGTGTGGTTTAACAAATGAAAGGATAAAGTCAAATATGCATCCAATTTTCTCATGACACCGAGATCGGTGTGAAGGTTTGGCCGCGCTGTTACATCCACGATGCTGCCTGACCGTCACTTTTGTATTCTATTGCTAGGTACGTCATGAATGTTTGGCAAGTTATCCGTAAGGCTTAACCCAGCCAAACTAATTTCTTGCAAGAGTGATCAGTATAGGCGACATTAACCACTTCGTGCCGGGGCATTTTTCAACGTNAATGGTAGCTTACCAATGGTAGCTACCCGCTAGCCTCTTCAGACAATTATACGTTTGTGTTGTCACGAAACCCTCCATCGGCAAAAGTGAGAATGTACTTATCTTATTTCAAGTCGTAAATTCACAGTGAAATGAGTGTTACAGCAAGTAACAGTGGAGATTGTTAGTCACTACTTCCGCTCACACATGAACTGCTGTAACGAGTCCAACTGACACAGGTATGAATATGATGTTTTATTGGCAGCCAATCATAACACAATGACTGGATGGTCCCAAGATGATGGTTACACAAAAGCCTTGCGCTCGTGCTTCGAGCCCAGCTGTACATGTGCATGTTCACGTACAGGTGCACATGTGTAGATTCAGTCTAGTCATGGGCATTACGGAGCTCCAGTAAATACCATCGCGTAGAAAAATTGGCGCTTACGCAAGGAAGAAAAACCTTTCTAAACCTGATAGACTGGTGTGGTTTAACAAATGAAAGGATAAAGTCAAATATGCATCCAATTTTCTCATGACATCGAGATCGGTGTGAAGGTTTGGCCACGCTGTTACATCCACGATGCTGCCTGACCGTCACTTTTGTATTCTATTGCTAGGTACGTCATGTACGTTTGGCAAGTTATCCGTAATGCTTAATAATAGCCCAGCCAAACTAATCCTTGCAAGAGTGATCAGTATAGGCGACATTAAAAATATAAAGCTCTGTAATTTAACTTTTTTAAGGCATAATTTTATTTTCTACTCAGTGCACATTTTGTCATAATCCCCCCCAAATATCGCGCTTCACATTTTTGGTATCGCGATACCGTATTGTGGCATTTTAGAATCGCGATTATCGATGCATCAGTGCATCGTTACACCCCTAACTGGAAGATTTCAATGGGCTAATCTGAAGACAGCCTGCATGTCTAGTCTAAGGCAACACTGACAAATCTTGTGGGTTATCACCAGTTACTTACTGATATTCAACAGTTCCCTGACACTCTGGTGAGACAGCTTGTTGATGTTGAAGGACCTGTGGACAAGCAATACAAAAACCAATATAAGGAAAAAAACTTTAAAAATAATGCAGTGCTTGCTACTCATTTGACTCGAACCACAGAGAAAGGACACAGATGCTGTTTGAACTGCCTTGCGACAAAATTCGACCAATTACTGTTGTCTGGAATGACTGGTCTGTCCAGAGCCAGAGCAAAGTGACCAGGCATGCAACTTGGATTTGGAAAAAAAAACCGAGGAAATTGGCTGATCCAAGGAACAGCTGAGTGACCCCCTGCTGTGCGCTATCAAATTTCACAACCGTGAGTGCCCTTTGTGACCGGTGATCTCCTCTGCAATTTTTTCCTGGTAATCTGCATCCTACAAATTTTCGCACTGAAGCATAGAGTATATAGAATTTTCACTTGCAATTACTTGAGAAATGTTTTCACAGTAATATCTCCTTGAAGGTGTGAGCGGTTGTTTATTTCAGGCCATGTGGACTGTATGTTCACGTGCAGTTCTTGAATGCTTTCTTGCGTAAATCATTTTTGGGGGGAGGGGAAATCGGCCAAGTTTTCGTTCATATTTGTATTTTTAGTGGATTGGTCTATTAATGGCTGACGCCTGGTGGTCTCACAGCTACCCCTGCCCCCACTTTGACAACTGTTCAACCTCCTTTTACCTCGCTGCATGTCTATGTGTATATTTACATGCTCAGAAGATGAGGTCACATACCATGATGTAGATCCTGTGCCGGTGCAGATGGTGATTCCAGAACTCTTCTGTTTCACCATGGGACTGCCGTCCACGGAGATCTCGTAATAGGATACACTAAGAGAAGACACAATATTGTAAACATATTGTATTCGCGTCACCTCAGATAGTATTGTGAGGTGTTGGGGGTTGTGGACTTGTGGTCGAGGTTATTCATGGTTTATGGGTACAACTTCTGGTTGTGGGTTCAAGTCCGGCCCCGGGGGTAGCGGTAGGTGTGCCCTTGGGCACGGCACCTTATCACTCACCGCTTCTCCCCACCCAGGAGTAAATGGGTACCTGTGAAGGCAGAGTGACTGATTTTAGCCACTTTGTGCCAAAACGGCAGCATCATGCTGTTTATTGCTAACGGTGCTAGGATGCTATTCAAAATGTTTCGTGTGTGATGAACAGGAGTGCTGACGATGTAGCACCTTGAACATCAACTCGTTGTCCTTGTGATGTGCCCCCCGTAGCTGGTATTGTGGCCTCCCTCATGCCTGAAGCTGGTAACGGGGCCAATTAGAAGCCAGAGAGAACAGCGTTCCTATACCAGTTAATCGAGCACATGTGTGTGTGTGTTTGTAAACGACCACTTCTGATTGGGCACCCTTTTTATATGCTATGGTTGTCATATTTTTTTCAATTGAGGGAGGGTCGGTCGGTCGGAAAAAATAAAATTTCTAAAAGGCCAATTTATGCTGCTGCCATTTAGACGACTGGATAAACTAGGCAAAGTTCACTATGTTTACTGGTCACTTGTTTTCATATTGAGTTACCATGAGTCTCTTCGTTTCTGAGTACAGAGAAATATTTTTATTGGAACACAACACAATACCTCGTTGGAGTCAGTGTCAAGACAACGTACGGTTCGGTTTTTCCCATTGCACTCCAAACACGTACATTATGTGTGGTACGGTACCACTTGGTCTGGGAGTGATGCCGTACTGTGGATTTCGACTGTCGCTGCATTGATGTTTGGGCAAAGTTGTATCGTAGATGTATATTTTCAGCGCTGCTTTTGTACAGGTCATCACGACCTACTTTCATTTTATAAGCAACATCCTCTCAGCAGAGTCGGTAGAAAAACAAAGGCTTTATGTTTTTGAGGACGGGAGCCAAAAATGGGGTCGGTTGGAAATGAGTACCATAGAATCTTGAAAGGGTGCCCTCACATTGAAAAGCAAGGGAAGTGAAACATCATAACATTTCAGTGTTTTCCAAGTCCCTTTTTTCCGTCAATACTTCAACAAGTGAAATACAATGCAGCAAGATTTGTGCTTCATTTTCAATTTAAGTGCTGGCTTTTGATTAGGAATGCCAGCTTGCGCTGCCCGTAACGCAATAACCCTGACTGTGCCTCGGACAAGTTGGCTATGGAAAAACAATACAGTCTGCAAGAGGTTACAGTTGGAGAACTTTGCCCTTTGGGTGATGTTTTGTATTTTTTTGAGGGTTAATCCGAGACCTGCTTCCTTTGCAGTTATCAAACCCTGAAGAATGGGGTGACTCACGTTGATGACAGCGACTCGCCAATGAAGACCTCATTCAGCGCCCTGACTGGCAGGACCCTGGGCCCCGGTTCCACCCTCTCCTCTAACCCCTGCCGCAGCCGCTGCTCCTTGGTCCAGTGCTCCACCTGGTGGTCCGGCAGCTTGAGCTGCTGCTCGTGGAGGTCGATGGGCTCAGCGTTGATCAGGCCACTCTCCACTGTGGTGCGGATTCGCTGTCGCCACTTCCACCTGGGTTCAAGGCAGAACCAACACAGCGGACAGGTAATTCTAAGAAAAGTTGGATCCATCTTTTTCCCCTCACATCGCATCTGACTGATGACCACTTTCAATTCCCACTGGACTTTGGAATTGAATGCCTCTATCATTAGTGGTGTGCATTGACGGGTACTACAGGGATTAGGCTCTGAAGCACAAAACGCACAGCAACTCAACGTTTGCTTCCCAGACCAACAGATACCTACTGTTTTCAATGATCTTTGATATGGCAGGGTACCAGCTTAAAATGTAAGCTTTCAGTTCACATGAGAAGTTTGTTTCATAGGTGGATAACAGAGACACGGTGCTGTGATACATTTTCTACAACCTTGTTTTTCTACAAACTCTTAATACTCCAAACCAAGCATTTATATAATTCTGGACACGAGAAATATGTGACTACTGCCATCAGGTAGAAGTGTGACAGAAAAAATGGTAAAAAAGCTGCCATGGCAGACTGAATTGATACCCTGGATGTCAGTGGCTATGTAACGAAGATGTCATTCAACCTGGGCTATGGGTACCCAGTACTAATACAGCACAGCCCAATTCATTCTCCCCAAGCGAACATAAAATGAGCAGCAAGAAACTCATCCAGTAGGCAAGTAAGTCCAACTGTTTGCAATCAACAATAATCCAAACAAATTTTATTGACAGGACTTGAAGTACAAAAAATATGAAGTTGGGAATCAGAACATCTGGCAATCCTCTTGAAATGAAAAGTTTCACACTAACCTAAACCTCCCTTCTGCTATTTTTCTCAGGGCATCATCAAACCGTAGCGTGTACCTCTCCGGCAGGCATAGGTAGCCGGCCGACTGACTGGGATCTGTGTTGACTCCCAGGATGGGCTTGTCGTCCATGACTTTTGAGGCTGCCATGATGAAGGTCCCATCCCCTCCCGCTGGCACCACCACGTCGGCCCACCGGACTGCTTCGTGGTTCAGGCTGTGGTCGAACCGCTGGGCCAGTCTGACCTCAATGTTCTGTGACCTGAGAGGGCGTGGACACATGAACGTACATGTATTCTGCTGCTAAAGATGCGCATCAAGGAATGTGGGGTTCCATTCCATCTGTCGACCCAATGCGCGTTAGGAAAAGGTCGACAAATTTTACACGTTGTGATTGGCCAACGCGTTGCAAAACTCTTGGAGGCGCAACATTGTGAATTGCCCGTATTGGAATAATCAAATATTGAAATATTTGACCTTCAATTCGATAAAAAGGTTAAGAGTTCCATATTCGGACATCACTAATTTTCCCTGTCCGTAGTTTGTTAACCTTCAGAAAGTGATAACGTCCTAAAAGTCAATTTAAGCAGTGAAAATGTTGTGACATTTACTTAGAAAATACATAGAATTTTACAGACCAGTCTCATGGGATGGTGTTAGTAATGTCCGTATGTAGAACTCTTTCTGATAAAAATTTAAATATTTAGCTACAGGTATATCATATTCCAACAAAAGCAGGAACTAAATCTGCATGTTTGTGGGGGTGGCATGATCTGTCCTAGCTGAACAGAATGACTAGGCGTCCAACTGATTGACGGTACTGACTGGGGATTCATTCCCTTTGACCTAGCGAGACTGTACATCACAAACAGCCAAAAAAAGAAAAAGTTGAAAGAGTAATGCTTTGGTCTTATTGTTGGGCATCAGGGACCGTTAGGTCAACAACACACATATTCTCACATCCTTACATATGTATACTAGTGGGGTATTTCCTTTGTTCTCGTGTACAAAACTCCCACACAACACGGAAAAAATGTCAAATCACTGCCATTTCAACCAAATTCGGTTTCCTGGGTTGAAATTTGAACCGTATGTTCCTTATATAAAACACTTCAATTTACAGCATAATGAATTCTGCTGGATGTAAGGGCGTCCGTAGTTAATTCTATAACAGTTCTCATTCCAATTGACCCTTATTTTTGACTATTTTCCTATGGAAATGCCAGGCTGCCCGTGGAATTATTACGAAAATTATTTACGAATGGCACTTGAAAATTCCTCCTTTTTGAGTAAATTTGAAATATCTACTACGTGAAATTCTTGTGGGGTACCACTTTAGTACCCCACAAGGATCAAAACTGGCCTTGTGGGGTACCTTCCATTGTTCCGGTACCCCACAAGGCACCATGTACAAGTGCTCACGCGTGTGTAATAATGCACTCAGAGTGAACAAAGACTTACTCGAAGGTGTCCACGACTTTCCTGACGTTAGACTCATGAATGCGGTGCTTCTTCAAAAGCTTGTCATAGTGAGACCCTCGCTGTGAAAGCTAGAGTGAACAAAGGAGGGCGCTCATTTGGATGGATCAAGTTGACGTTCTTTGTTGAAGAATGATAATAATTTTATTTAGGTGAAAATGTCTGTCATTAAGATGATTAAATACGACTAAAACGGGAAAAACATGCAAGGCATGAAATTTCTGGTATTTCAACTGCAATTAAATAAACAACATATCAGCATAATGAATTCTGCTGGACGTAAGGGCGTCCTTAGTTAATTCTATAATAGTTCTCATTCCAATTGATCCTTATTTTTGACTATTTTCCTATGGAAATGCCAGGCTGCCCCTGGAATTATGGGGATTATCGTTCCACCTCCCGAAGTTGAACCCATGTTAGGGTACAACCTTGGACGTGTTACAACTACAAGGGATGCCAGACAACTCTACTGTTTACCAACTGGACTCGAAACAACTCGACAGGTGGGACAACTTGACCGTTTACCACATTGTCCGTTAAGACAACTTGACCGTGCAAGGTGCGAACGAAATGGAGTGCAGGGCATTTAACATAAATTGCAGATCAATGAGTTTGGGCAAATTTGCATGTGTCGCATTACGTTTCAACTTGACACGCCGTGCATGACTTGCAAAGGGACCTGGTGATGCAGCATGCACAGGATTGGTGGGCGATGCGAAATGCACGGTGCCTCAGCGCAGAGTCAGCGGTGTACAGGTGCCCCAGCTACACTAATGCAATGATCTAGTCTACCGTAATGGGAGATACATGCAGTGTGTCCCAAGAGTCTTTTCTCTTTCTTTTTAATTTGGAGGCAAGGTGTGTGTGTTGTGACTGTAAAGTACAAATGCACTCACTGCGAGTCAACTTGTCTCATCTGACGACTTTTCCCAGTGGTCAAGTTGTCTGTTTAAGGCAGTTGTCTCCGTTACGCCCAAACTACAGCATCTGTCCAAACTATAGTTGGGACGGTCCCAATAGTTGGGCCTGTTCCAACTAGAGTGCTATAGCTGGGCCGGCCCAATTGATATTGACTGGGCGTGTGCCCAGCATGTGCCAAAGTCATATTGATTACAATGTCTTAGATGAAGTGCCATATTTTAGATGAACTGTGTCAAGCACGAGATGCATAAACTAGGATAAGGTTGAGAAATTTTCAACAGAAATTGGTCAACTACATTTGGGACTGTCCCAACTATGGTTGGGACAGACCATGGAGGAAGGAACTGATGCTATAGACATGATAGTTGGGGCGTAACATCTTCACAGTCATGAAAGTTGAGTTGTCGCGAGTCGAGTAGGCAAAGGGTCAAGTTGTCCAAGCCCCACTTCAAGCATGACAAGATATGACGCTGTAGCACTGTCGGCCATGAGTATGCAGTCAGGTACAACATGGGTACAGCCAAACAGTTATTATGTTTATTACGGCCCTAGGCTTACCACTTTTTTTAAGCCATCCTCCCCAATGTCACCAAATCGTTTCTTTTCAAATGCATATCGTGACAATTTAGACACCACCAGCGCCCGTTTAGGCCTAAAGGGAACGCCATTGCCTCCAAAGTTAGATTTGGCGTCCCTTCCTTCCTGCTCTGTCAGACTGGAAGATGACGAGGCACCGCGGCCGAACACGAGCAGTCGTCGGGCTGAAAGCTTGAAATCGCCGAGTCGATGCAGGCAAGTTGCGCAGCAGACAATTCGGGAGGAGCGGGTCCCCATCATGATCATTGAACAGGTCTTTGTCAAGCTTTCAATGCAAGGACTCGAAAGTCGAAGGCTTCAAGGAACTACATTATAGTAGGACTACATTTAGGGCCTACACCCACTGCTCCAAAATAACTTTCAAGTTACGGCCTCTTTAATTTTGGCTAGGCAACGTGCCCCGAAAGCTACTGCCGCGCAGGTATCTGATTCCGGCCGTAACCAGTACCATTTCCATGGCCGGCCACACTGCCGGCACATGTAAACAGCAAGTAAGTACGGATGTTTTAGCGTATGGCGCCCTCTGCTGTCTGACCAGCACCGAGAAAAGGGAGGTAACTTTTAAGTTCGAACTTCGAAGCAGCTATTGTAGCTGCAGTTGCCATCATGATTTTGTTGCACGCGTGACGACATGACAGACAGCTCTTTTGAGAAGAGTAATGTTTTGTAGACAACTCACCTTAAAAGCTACCCTGAAATTAGTGTTGCTTTTAATTGGATCTTCAGGATTAGGCCTAGGTACGTAAATTATAATAAGCTAACCGGGTTCTAGACTGTATAGACTCTAGACCACATCATGTACCTCCCTGACTTGTTGATGTTTGTGTACTTGGGTGAGCCAGAATACTCCTACAATATACTTTCTGTGGGGGACCTTGGCAGTAGTGGTGCACGTCAGAACCCGGAGACTGTCCTGAAACTCAGAGAAGTCCCCCCAAAACAGACAAGGTCTCCCAAAACAGGGACATTTTTACAAATTATTAAAGCTTGATCTTTTGGATCCAAGCCCACTTGGAAAAAACACCTCGTACATGATAACAGTTTTAGGGGATTGATTTTTGTCTCCAAATTAAGGGACTTCACAGATTTGAAGGACAATTCTAATGTTTGCTTCCCGGCTTGGATGGGCCTAGTGCTTGTCAAAATTATATTGGAACCAGGCTGAAGATTTTGTTTTTTGGCAATTTCTGGGTTTGATCTTCACATCAAACACTAGGTGGGGTTAGGTTCCTTGAGACCACTGACCATAATCAATTACAAGCACTGCTGATGTGTTTTAAGGTCATGAAAGTACATGTAGGGGTGACAGGCAGACTACCGTAGCTGACCATGTTAATGCCACCAGGTCCCCACGCACATCATGTTTGGAGTCAAGTCGCAATGTAATGTGGCACACAGACATTCCAAGACATTGATTGGCAATCTGTGTTAAACATCTTGCAATCTGCTCGCCATGTACTAGGTATATCGTGGACACTTCAAGTGGTAGAGTTGACTTGTCTTAATGGACAGGTGATGGATGGTCGAGTTGTCCCACTGGCTGAGTTGTTGCAATGGTTGAGTTGTTCTGACTCGAGTTGGGAAGCAACAACATATTGTACGTAGCTATTGGTTAATTTGGCCTGTAGGATACATGTAAATGTACATATACAGGTACATGTACATGTGTACCTCAGCAGTCTTGCATGGTACATTTTGCAGTGGACGGAGGATGGACAGAGTGGACCAGCTGGTCTGAGTGCTCTGTCACCTGCGGAGAGGGAGGCTTCACCACTCGGTCTCGCACCTGCCTAGATGATGGGACAGCCTGCCATGGGGACTACTTTGAAGGGAACGTCTGTGACATGGACCCTTGCCCTGGTGAGAGGAAGTACAGTGGCTTTACATTTCTGAGATGAGAAACTTTGGTCCTTAAGACCTAGGAATTGTCGGGATATTTTTGCCTCATTTGATATCAAATAAATTCTTGTTCAGGTGCTGTAAATTACGGTAATGTTCTTTTTTTATACAGTACCCGAATCGTCTGATTGAATTGATTGATTGTTGATCACATGTCATTGAACTAGTCATTCAATGCAACGGGTATAGAATTTCATTTCACTTCCCTGGTTCCCAGCCCCAGTTCACTTATTTCATTCGCAGTAATAAAGAGGAAAATAATACACATATATAGGGACAGGAACCAGTCTAACATTACATCAACATAAGGGTGGTGCTTCAGACACGAATCTGTTTCTTAAAATAGCAGACATAATACGCGACGACAGAAGAGCATTCATAGGGTTACTGTATAAAAGAAATATTGGATTTTTCTCATTGGCGCAATGGTGAGAATAGTTTCATTCGGGGACAGATGAAACGTTCCTTCATCTCGTGGAATAGAATATTTCACCTGTGACCTCATGAAACTGTTCTTACCATTACACTCATAAACATTCATTATTTGTATGTCAGTCCATTTAATTTCTTAATCTACATGTACATGTGTAACCCCCTTCTCCAACAAAATCAGTGGTCTGGTGCCCTCCTCAGTTTTGCACTGATTATGTAGATACTTAATTTCAGTGTCCATTTGTCCCACATGTTCAGTGGATGGAGTCTGGTGGGAGTGGAGCGAGTGGACCAACTGCACTCTCCCCTGTGGCTCGGGGACCAGGTTTCGCCAGCGGGAGTGCCAAGAGCCCCTGCACGGAGGAATGCCTTGCCAGGGAGCCTACGACCACACTGAAGCCTGCAATGTAGATCCCTGCCCAGGTATGTAATACCGTGTGGCAGTGTGCGTTAGGGGTGGAAGGTTCTATATCATTGAAAACTTTTACTGTCAACCTTTGTCACTCCTTCAGAACCCCTCTACCAAAGGCCTTCTCACACTAGAACCTCTCAACCTGGGTCAAACTTATCAAACCTTAGGCGAACCAGGGTTGACCCTTCTTTTTATCAGGACTGTGTTTCAGGTTGTGGTCTAAGTGGCCAGGGCATCATTGTCTTTGTGACCTCTAACCATCTCAAAGTTAACACCCCATTTATTACCCCAGTTATTACCCTAGCTGGCTGTGAGATCAGTTTCTGCAGTTTCTTGAGATCATCTCAGCTTGATTGCTACCCAACCATGTACGTCCATTCTTGTTCCATTGTTGTGGGGACATACACGTGATATTTCACCTATTTTGGGACCGAAAATGTTACTGGGACAGAGAAATGTCCCCACAACTTGTTCCTTATTTTCCTAACAAAAGAAATTGTCTCCCTAACCCAGTGAAGGCCTACCCCCATAATGTACTCCTTGTTGGAGAGAGGCAATAAGCCTTTTGTGAATTAAATTTGAATAAAATCTGGTACACTAAGTTCTTTAAATTCATGTGAACATAAAAGTTTGAATTCTCCATACTAAAAAGGCTGTTGCTATACCTTGTGATTCGGGGCAAGCTTTTACTTAGTTACATAGGAGACGCTTTGCAACAATACGCTGTTCTCAATGGATAAGAAGGGCACAGAGGAACCAGTCCATTCCAGGGATGGTGGTAGCTACGCAAAAGCTTGCCCCAAATCATGAGGTATAGCAACAGTGTAGTCTGGGGAATTCAAACTGTTACATGTATGCGCAATCAGATAAACTCAGTGTACCAGACTTTATTCAAATTTAATTCGCAAATGGTTTTGTATGCAAATTGTAAGTATGTATTTAGTGTTTTTTTAAATTTTTCCCGAGGATGCAAGCACCATGGCAATTCTGGGGTTGGAACCTACATGTATGTCCCACCTGTAGATTGCGCAAGAGGTTGAACACCTGAACCATTGGACCATGACACTCCACATTTGTATGTGGGCAGGTGTTCACTTCATTAAGGGGCATTTTCCTTTGTTAGGCCAATTAGGACCGAGTTGTGAGGACCTTTCCTTATCCCTACAATATTTTTCAGTCCTAACGAGATACGCAAAAGAATAAGTGTTTTTCCCCACGACTACGGACACACATAAATTGTACACATGTAGTAACCTGACACAGTACGGTTTCATAACTATTGAGGCCAGGACTGCGTCCAAGGTTAAATGTCTGATTTCTCCCTGCAGTGGATGGGAATTGGACCCAGTGGAGTGACTGGCATGCCTGCCCAGTCTCCTGTGGCGGGAGCACCCAGACCAGGAATCGAACCTGCATTGGTCCCTTTCATGGTGGCCAACCTTGTGAGGGTATTGGAAGCGAAGAGAGAGAATGCAGTCCTGAGCCGTGCCCAAGTAAATATTTTATTGTTGCTTTGACGAGTTTTGGATTTTAACATCCCACCCAAACTTGGGGATAGCTCAGTGGTGAATATATCTAGGACTGATGTGAGAGAAAGTTTGATTCCTTGACGGAAGCCTGTGCAGAAAAGTGGTCTCTCAAGACTGTCATCCTATAAACCATGGACTCCTGTCCTGCAATGATGAATCTGATGCGAATAATTTCAGTTTTTAAGGGACCACCCAGACATTGCTAGCATACATTTGATGATAATGTTATCATTGCATCACGATGCAACAATGGTCTCATTCCAGAAAAACAGCTTTAAACAGTTGAATAAAACAGTTAATTATTTTTCAGGATTTTTGCCACAAAATGTTTTTGTTTTTTTCCACTTGTGCTCTGTACCAAACAAGGGCAAGATTCCCATAGCCACTGCAATTTGTGAGAGAATGTTGTTTTGCAAGAGAGCTTTTGAACAAGTTTTTGTTTTGTTCTATTCTGTGCTTTTGTTTAGTTTTGCTGTCATTTTAATCCAACTCTGGCCCTGCTTTTCAGTCCATGGCGCTTGGTCAGAGTGGGCCGACTGGTCTGAGTGTAGTGTCACCTGTAACTACGGCGTCATCGTACGGCAGCGGTCCTGCGACAACCCTGCCCCACAGCACGGAGGGGACTTCTGCTCTGGTCGTGGCAGGGAAACCAGGGAATGTTACCCTCTCACCTGCCCCCGTAAGAATGGCCAAGGGCTTGACAATGGGCCTTTTTCACGAGTTCGCCATATTGAACTGAAAGCGAGGTTAACTTTTCATTTTAGGAGCCTGAGAGCTGAAATGAAAGCAGTGAAATAAAATTTCATTACAAATTAATTTCAATTTATGCTGACAAACAATTTGAAAATTGTGATTGATTATATCTAAAATTTTGCAACAACACTTCATGAAAAAAAAATGAAGGTGAGGATTAGTGCCCAAAATACATGTAGTCTGGCTCTGCCCCATTTAGTCAGATTACTTTGAATAAGATGGATTCATGACTGAACATGGCTTCGTTGTAAATAGGGTCCATTCCACTGGGAGAAGCGTGGGCTCTATTTGAAGACGTGCACATGTATTCCTGGTTGTGTTCCTGCATCTGCTCCCAGCGGGAAGCCTTTTTTTCACGTTGCAACGACAGTCGTGAACTCGGCATGTTTATGCACAGGTTCATGACGTTTTTGTACGGGATGCGCTGAGAACACAACCATTTTCAATTAGATTGTATGGTCTTTGCGTTTGCGCTTGGCATGTCCATGAGCCTGGTTGAAAAATATCCCACCAGCTTGCCCCTTCTTTGCCAATGAAGGTGCACTCTAATACAGGACAGTTTGGAACCCCGGCAGAAAGAATTGTATAAAGCTAAAAAGCCGGCTCATACTACATGTGAACATGAAAGAAAAGTGGATTCAATGTCACAAAAGATTGGCTACGAAATTTCACTCAAGTTGAAATGTGTTCACCTTTTGCATATTTGCAGCGTGAATATTTGAGCTGGTGTCACAACTTCAAGTTTGTGTTTGCTTTCATGACAAGTATGAACCAGCCCTAAAAGTACAGTCCACGATTTGTCATTTGGGCGTTATATTCCTTTGAGGCGACAAAATTAGTCGAAATCTAAAGAGAGATGCCCAAGACCTAAGAACAAACCTGATGAAGTTTTCAGCTCGGTGAATATGGTTTATTCCTGTATAGCCTTCTTTCAATGTTTTCTCCAACATGACAGCTTACTAGAAATAATAATTTCTAAAGGAGTTTAGTTCCATAACCACTCTGAACCAAATATACTTTTCAAGAATACTTCTGTCAGTTACTTTTTGGATAACTGCAAATGATGGACTGTATCTTTAAAAAAAACAAGACCATTATAAAATGTATGGCCAGTAGGCACGGGAAAAAAGGTGACTTCTGCAAATGTCTGTTCAGCAGTTGTGCATTTTTTCGAATAAGGAGTGTGAACGAAGCATGTGTATTCATTTTAGTACAGCCTAGTTCCTTCAGGCTTGATTACAGCTATGGTCTCTTTATGCACATGCTTCATTTTGGCTGCTGGAGTACCAAACTGGCTCATTGTCAAGCATCCAGCAATAAGCCTATTGCCAGTTAAATTTGAATGAAATCTGGTACACTGAGTTCTTTAAATTCACGTGAACATAACAATTTGAATTCTCCATACTGAAACTACTGTGGCTATACCTCGTGATTCCGGGCAAACTTTTGCTTTGTTACACAAGAACCTTTTACACCAGTACACTCTTCTCAATGGATAAGAAAGGCACAAAGGAACCAGTCCATTCCAGAGATGGTGGTCGCTATGGAAAACTTGCCCCAAATCATGAGGTATTGCAACAGTGACTTTAGTCCGGGGAATTCAAATTGTTATGTTTATGTGCAATCAGATAACTCAGTGTACCAGATTTTATTCAAAGTCAACTTGCAAAAGGCTCATTAGAAGATGGGGATCTATTCCAGTGTTGTTTAATGTATCACTTTGGTTTTGAACCATCTAACATGGTTCCATCTCCCTTGTCACCTTCCAGGACACGGCGGCTGGTCCCTCTGGTCTCCCTGGACGGAGTGCTCCCAGTCTTGCGGCTGGGGTTTCCGTCAACGGCAGCGTGGCTGTGATAACCCCTGGCCAGCCTTTGGCGGTCTTTACTGCGTGGGATCAGAGAGGGCAGGAGAGAGCTGCATGGTGGCACCTTGCCCCGGTCAGTGTCAAACTTCAAAGTTAGGATAAGAGGGTAGGGGGATGGGCATATGATGTTACGATGAAGGATTTAACATTTTGAGTCTGGTGTTCATTGGACTTTCATTGCTTGTATTGTCGTTTGAAACTAGCGAAGGGGGAACATTTATCTAAGTTGAAATTTGCACATGTAGTTCTTGCTATATTTTCAATTTTAACAATTTCAAGTACCAAGCAATTTAAATATTGTTGGAAGAAGCTTACACAAATTTTTTCCTGTTCTGTTTCTATTTGCTCATGGCTGTTTTTCAAAGCTTGTTTTCCTCACTGAGAACTTGTTTACATGTATTGGGCTGCCTTAAGAACTCTCCCATGATGGATGGGGTCAAACTCTTTTGAGCCATACAATAGTAACTAGTTTATGTATGTAGTTTTAGTATATGTACTTAAGTACATGTAGTTTATATGTTGAAAATGAACGATCGCTGCTGCCAGTTTGTTGACTTTGTGATCTTTAAGTACTTGACCTCACAGCAGAATGGAACATATATCCGACTTCTCGCTCAAACGCCTTGATCTAAAGAAGCACTCAATTAAAGCCATGCCCTAAGCACACTGCACTTGAGAGCCCATTCATGCTTAGTGGACGTTGTGCATTGACAGTGGACGCCAGCTGGGGTCCCTGGGGAGCCTGGACCAATTGCTCCAAAGCCTGCGGCTCAGGGGGCAACCACACCCGCACCAGGCTCTGCAACTTCCCTCCGGCCCTGCACGGTGGGAGAGAATGCCCCGGACCAGACTGGGATGTGGGGGAATGCTACGTCGATCGCTGCGACGGTATGTGCTTACAAGCAAGACCTCTCCAAGGGCCTGTTTGTTTCACATGGATCCGGATCGCGATCAGTGATTCGTCGTTGGTTCACTGACACCATGTCCTGTCAAATGGACAGAGCGAACCAGTGTTGGGATCACTGATCGAGATCAGTCTCCGTGTGAAACCAACAGGGCCATTCTCTCTCCCAAACCTATTGAAGATATTGCTTTTTGTGAAATCCCCCAAACAAATGTTGCGTTGCTCTGAAGGGGGCATGCGAGAACTTGTAATAGGTAGGGAAAAAAACCAGTAAAAAACATGTAAAGATGTCACTACATCACTCAGGCAAACATGAACTTGGGCATGGCTCCATTGCTAAAATTGGCAAAAGTCTTATTTAGAGGCCAACTTTCTTGTCTCACTCCCTGAAAAATATTTCCCGGAGGTGAGTATCTCAAACTAATAACAAAATTATTCTTATTTCAAGTTAATATTTCTTGGGAGTGAGGTTAGAAGATGAGGTGTCAAAATAAGATGTTTTTCTATCTTTTTTAGCAGGTGAGTCCTGTTGGGTACACTAAAGAAAATAAAGTTAAAAATTTTGGCAGAGGGCAAAACTTTATACTGGGTAGTACAATTGTAGATTGTAAACTACCAATGCTTTTGAGATGTGGAGATTACTGGTACACTGGTAATGATTTATTGAAGTGATGTGCTTGTCTTATTTTTATTTATATCATCTTTTAATGAGGGTAATCTGATCAGTGCACGGCACTGCTGTCCCTGGAGGCCCCCAGATTGGCAGTGTGAGTCAAAGGCTTACAATGGCCCCCTAGGGAGCTGCCAAAAGACCCACAACTGCCCACATCTTTAGAGAGGAGACAGTGAAAAACAGTTACAGGTTTAGAGGTGGGAGGAAAACCCCCGAGGAATATACTTTGTAAAACCCACGGAGTCAGGTTGGGACTGAAAACCCAACTGAGCCGGGGAATTGAACCCAGGACTGCAGAGGTGAAAGGTGAGGAAAGAACCACCATGCCAACCTGACTGTCCTTCTTGTCTTCTTGTTGGGTTTTCAGAGGATGGAGGTTGGTCAGAGTGGGGTGAATGGAGTGCATGTAGCAAGGAGTGTGAGACAGGACAGGAGACGCGCAACCGTACCTGTGACAACCCACCCCCGACCCCACCAAATGGTGAAGAGTGTCGTGGGTCTGGTAGTGAAAGCCGGATATGCAACACGCACATCTGTCCAGGTGGGACTGTAGAAGGATTCTTTTATTTGTCCGTGATATTCTTACCTTCTTCAAAATACTAGAGCTGCATCTGAAATGAACAGTTTTATAATGGCCTGATAACATGTGTGCCTTTGAAAAACACTTGTCACTTGCTGTAGAGGCTTTGTGTGGTAGCCATCTTGCAGGGGAGTTCTTTTGCTCCACCAGGAAACCTCCTTTGCGCATACCATTTGAAACAAAAGCACTGGCCTGCAAGATGGCAGCCATGCAAACCTTCTGTAGTGGTCTGAACCAGACTCAGCTCTGCAGCATGTGTTTACCCAATTTGACTGACTTATGTTCATTCATAAATTTCAAAGTTTGGTCAGCATTTAGCAAATCTCTTTTTAGCCATAATGACACACTTTAATCTTGTAGTTAGGGAGGCAGAAACTTTACATGGCCAGCATCAGCAGGGATGGGGGGGGAAGTTTAGTAAAGCCATTTAATCTCTTTGTTTTTGTCGTTCACCATGCATTCAGAATAAGACCTATCCTAACCCTGAAGTACATGTACCTAAAAATGCCGATGTGCAGTGCTTTTGTATGTATAAATTATTTAAAACTGGTTTGACTTTAAAAAAATGACTCTGAAGAAGTGGTGCAAGGAAAATTGTGTGTTGTCTGTAAAGACAGTGCCATTTTTATTTAGTTTATGTTTACAGTTTGTCCTGTGCAACTGTGTATGCACCAGTGTTGTATTCGAGTCCAGTCACAAGTCCTTTCACAAGTTCCTTCACAAGTTCCTTTACAAGTTCCTTCACAAGTCCTTTCACAAGTCCTTTCACAAGTCCTTTCACAAGTCCTTTCACAAGTTCCTTCACAAGTCCAGTCACAAGTCCTTTCACAAGTCCAGTCACAAGTTCCTTCACAAGTTCCTTCACAAGTCCTTTCACAAGTCCAGTCACAAGTTCCTTCACAAGTTCCTTCACAAGTTCCTTCACAAGTTCCTTCACAAGTCCTTTCACAAGTCCAGTCACAAGTTCCTT